TTTGGACTTTAAAAAAGAAAAAAAAAAAAACCCACATTTTTTTCCCTTTTATATTTTCTTTTTTTTTTTTTTTTTTTTTTTTTTTTTTTTTTTTTTTAACCTGAAAATGACCTGCTAGCATGTGCCCAGAACATAGGCTGTCACACTGAGAATCATAGAGGAGGTGAGGCGGGGATGGGGGAGCTTCTAGCAGGTGTCTGCACTGTAAATTCTGCGTCAGAAGCAGGCAGCGAAGCGTCATAGTCAGGGGAACCCTCTCTGTAACCAATCTAACCGACATGGACGGACAGGCCACAGAGGGAGGAAGAGAGGGATGGATGGATGGATGAGGGATGAGGGATTATGGATGGGAGGAGGATTATTATTATGGCACTGGGAGTGTCGTGAAAATATTGTAGATATAAACGTGGCAGGTAAGTAATGGAGGGGATGGGCTGAAGAGAGGGGGGGGGGGGGAACGCACACAGGAGACCCAGGAGAGAGATCCTGCTTAGAGACTGCCAGATGAATTTGCCACTCAAACACACCAGCAGTAAATCTGCTGCACAGTCGAGCAATGTGTCTTCATTTTGAATATTGGTGAGGCGGTGTAAGAGCTAATCAGGTTTTTTTGTCCACTGTCTGTGGAAATGCTTATTCAGGTGCTACTGAATAGGCCTGAAAAGACTAATCGTGGTTAATCAATTGTCGATGTAATTGCCAACTAATTTAGCAGTCAATTAATCATTAAGTGGAATATACAGACTCCAAAAAAATAGCATTTTGGTGGGGGAGGGGAAAAAATGACATTCAAGATAAAAACACCATTGTCTGTAAATATATTTTAGTCAAAACCCTTTAAGTGGCATAATTTTAGATTCACCCTGTCCACATTTACTACAGGAATCCAGATATTGCATTTTAGGGAATAAAATGTTTATTTTCTTACTTAAAAAAAAAAATCATTTATTTATTTACATCTTTTAATTTATTCCTGATATTGTATTAAAAAAAAGACTTGTGATTAAATTAAAAGTCTGTAGAGTGTGCAAATTCTTTCATCCGATTAATTGATTAATCACCAGAATAACAGATTAATCGATTACTAAAACGATCGTTGGTTGCAGCCCTACTTGCAAACTTGCATGCAGCAGCTATGATAAAATGTTCAGTTAGTTGACAGCTCATGGTAGGAAAAAAAAAAAAAGTTGCAGGGAGAAAAAGAAGAAAAGATGGGAGGAGGACAAGCAACAGGCATCTGTTTCCAGGGCAACCACCACCTCGCCCACGGCAACAAACTTCCCGCTCTGCTGAAGCAGGGAGAGATGGGTGGGGTGGAGTGGAATGGGCTGGGTGAAGCTGGAGCTTTAATGCTAACAGCAGAGAAGGAGAGAAATACCCAACAATAAACTCATGATCATTTTACCCTTTGTCTTGTTGGTTTAGATTTGCTTTGTGTAGCTCTGTCTCCTTTTTTTTTTTTTTTTTTCCCCCTGTCCCTTCACCCCTCCTCCTCTCTTTTGTTGTAAACTCTTCCTCATCGACTGTGACAGTGCAACTCCCTTAATGGATGCAGCGCGGCTCTCTGCTGCCCCCTGGAGCCTCGCCCCTCTTCAGAAATGCTGCCACGTCTTCCTGGGATCATAAAACCAAAGCCGCAGCAGATTGTGGTCTCCAACTTTCAATGCCTGTCTTCTCTTTCACTCAACTCCTGTTTAATCGCATCGACTGTAAATGAAAAAACAAAAACAAAAAAACACAATGTGATGAGGATCATCTGAAGATTTTTGGAAGGCATTAACTGTGTTTTTTATGTTCTAAAACACCCACTGCCACTCAAGTTTGCGTGCAGTATTTCTGGGATATATACTGCAATTAAAATAGTCTTCTTACGGCTTGATTAGCCCGTTAACATACTGTGCGTGTGTATTATTTTTTTCAGTCAGCTGTCACATTCGTAATGCGAGCATATTCCTTTTGCCCGTCTGCAGTTTAGCTGACACGTTCATTCGCATAAACAAATAGAGTAAGTTGCCAAATAAGCACTTATTTTTTCTGACAGCACCTGATGTATTCCCCTCAGCTTGAAATGTTTCAGACTCTGAATTTTAGTTTTTCCCCACCGACGCCTCGTGGAGTTTTTTTTTTTTTTTTTGGATGGGCGAGGGGACATTTATGCTGCTTAAATGCCATGTTTTAGCTAATTGAATTGCTAATAAAGAGACACTCAACTTCACATTTTTGACAAGTGCCAAGCCAGCGCAAGATTTGCGAAATTCCAACATATGCAGCCATTGAGTTTCTGCCAGGAGGTAAATATTCTCATTAATACGAGTAGCAGGAGACTTTTTTTTTCCTTTTTCTTTTTTCTTTTTAATGCCAGGATGTTAATTGCAGAGATCTATGTTAGACCGATGTGAGCAAAACACTTAGCTGTACAGGAAGTTCAGAGTGATTAAAAACAGGCTGAGTCCATTCCTCCAAGTAACCACAGATGCTTTCAGAGGCGCAGAAGTTGTAACTTTTCATCTTTGAGGTTGTTGAAAGGCGAAAGGGAAAACATTTTGTTTGCTGCTGTACTCGGTGTCTTTGAGGGGAGTTTGAAGGTGGCTAACTGTACCCCCGCCGCCGTAAAATTAGACTGCACTCGTTTGTCACACCAAGGTCGATACTCACTTCAGGTTCTGCCTTCCTCCTCATCATCTTTTTCTCGGCCTCCATCCTTTTCCCCCCTCGGTGTGTGAGCGAGCGCTCCCCTCTCTCCTTCAGCCCGTTCCATCTTCTCTAACAGTCGGTTATTATAAAAGCATTTGGCTCCCTGTTCTCACTGCCAGCTTCCTTTTTCCCCCCAACCCTTCTCTGCCTCACGTTTCCTACTCCGACCTGCATTTGCACTTCTTTCCTCCCCTGAATGTTCGCCTTTTATCCCCCCCTTCCACCTCTTCCAGTCTTTCATCGCCCTCCTCCTCGTAGCTCTCTCTGTTTCTCTGGTAGGGTTGGTTTTCCCGCTGCTTCTCCTCTCCTGCTCTCCATCTGCAGCCTGTGAAAACCAGCGTTTGGCCAGAATGAATGGGGGCTATTTAAGCTGCTGGCAGGTCCATCCGCTTTGTGACTGCATGTGTGTGTGTGTGTGTGTGTGTGTGGAGAGCTGCGCGCGTGTGTGTTTTCGCTGCCAGAGAGTGTAAAACTGCAGGTGTTTGGACAGCTTGGCATGTCCGTATTTTGGCACAGCGTCACAATGGGGTTTTCTGCATCTAGCCGGTGGGCGCGTTTGTGTCTGGAGTAGTTTTACCTGTAACCGTCAGACTTTCTCATATTTACTCATTCCAAAAGCATTTTTCTTAATGAAGCTCTATTTGTTTTTCTTTTTTTTTTTCTTTGTTTTAGCCCTCCGAAGGCCCCGGTGATTGTTTCCGGAGTGGTCACAAAGGTAAGACTTTTTAGTAAAAAACAGAAAGCTGGCTTTCTATCCATTCATCCTCATCTCAGTTTAAATTGGTTCTATTGATGGAACCAAACTATTCAAGCAGTTTGTAGACTTTAGCTGTTATTTATTCTTAGTCCATTACTGCCCTTCCCCTTCCTGCTGCTATACCCTTTTTGCATTCATGGTATTTTTTTCTTTCTTTTTTTTTTTAATTAATGCATTCAGAATCTCGTCATGAATCTTATTTTTAATCAACGTTATCGAATGTGAATCTCATATTCTCATTATAGCTGTCTCGCCGGGAGCTGTGTCTTGTCTTTATTGGTGTTTGTGCAATATAAGGTGCAATATTGTCAAGAGAGAAAAAAAAAACAAAAGGAAATAAAATGAATGAAATCCACTCTGACCACCAGCAGGTTTTGAAATGGGCTTCATTCACCTGGTGATTTTATTCTGGGAGAGGAGCGGCACAGGTTAATCGAAAAAGCTCAAAGGTTTTGAGAATCAGAATCTAGAAAAAGTCTAGGATTTAAGGGGAAGCACAGATATTATCAGTCATATTAGATAAAGAGTGTGATCACATGAAGATGCAGCAGGGTCACTAATCTTCTTGCTGCGTAACCAAAGCATGAATTTACTTTTCTGCAACAAAGTTTTTCTTCTGCAAATGTTAAACGTTACCGTCTTCCTCGTAGCGCATACACCTCTGTGTCTGCTGCCTTTGTGTTTTACGTTTTTTCTGCAGAGGTTGCTCTGTTTCTTTATTTCCTTTTGTGTTGGAGTGTCCTTGACAGCCCGGATGGCTCCATTCCCCGCCTTTCCACGTGCCTCTGTCAGACCAGGCGGATTGTTTGCGGAAGATTGCGGTGATATCAGAATGTGGCAGGCATCCCATTTATCCCTCAATCCTCCTCGAGCCTTCTCATTCGCCCCTATCGCTGCCATCAAACCTGCTGGCTAGCCGTGCACAAAGCCCCAGGAAAGCCTTTTAGGGGGCTAAGTGAAACACTTCAGTGTGTGTGTGTTTGGAAAAGTCCACCGCTATGTGTGTGTGTGTGGAGTTTTTTTCTGATTGTGTCCCACAGCTCCGATATGTTTATAGAATGTCGTTCTGCCACTTTCTTTGACGGTTTCTTATATATAGCCTTGATTTTATGTTGAAGGATTTGTACTTGCGTAGCTAATTTGTGCGTTTAATTTGTTTCATCCCCACCCACATCTCTGCATCGACTGGAAAAAGAGTTGAAAGAAAGCTTTGAGAATCAGATGAAAGGAGGAGGACTGTTGGAGGTCAATTCAATCTCCGTCTCTCGCTGTTAGCGGTGGGCTTACCTCTAAATGAATAATACACACATATACACAGTAACACACACACACACACTGTTAAACTACCGCGCTGCCACGCCAGTAGTACAAACTCGACACTTGCGTATGAAAGGAAAAACATATCTCCGGCAAAGGCTCGGGGAGAAGTTGCAGAGATTTGACTAATGAAATTTCAGTAGTGATAAAATAAGTTTCAAAGAAGAACTTTGGAAAGAGAATTACAAATCTCCGAGAGAGATTAAAAAGAAAAAAAAAAAAAAAACTCGAGAAAAATAAATGAAATGAGGATTTTTGTCATGATCGTATTAAAATGCTGATTAAAATTCTGCGAACAATCACATCCCTGCTTTGATTTAACAATCATGGCCGCCGCCGTGTGCCGAAGTAAGACGCGAGACCTGGTTGCTGTGCAGATCGGTCGTTCTCCTCATACTCTTTGCTCACTTTAGGGAGTTCCTCGGCTTTATGTGTGTTTTAGGGGAGAGCTTTAAAAGTGGGTCAAACAATACACCCAGTGTCTGCTGGCAAACACACCTCTAAATAAGTGCTTATGTTGACACACAGAGGATGTTTAACAAAGCACTCTCTCAAGAGCACTCAGCGTTCCTGTAGGGGATGTTTTGTCTATAATAGTACAGTTTCACGGACATGCACAGTCTTGCACAGCGCTGTTTTTTTTTTTTTTTTTTTTTGGGTTATTGCCAGTAATAGCCAGTAAGCGTTCTCCACTGCCAAACGTAGAAATAAAGTGCAAATGAGTGTCTTATGGTTTCAGTTTGAGCCCTTTGGAGCCATTAAAACAGTTGGGAGACTCCAAAATACTGAAGCCAGCTCTCATGCAAGTTTTATATGCAAGTGTCCCGCAGAGAGTTTAGCCATTCTGTCTGTATCTACAGACGGGGAGGAAGTGAAGTGAGGCAGGAGGTGGCTGGAAGCAAGTTTGACCCTTTCCTGTTGTTGACTTTTTAGTGGTAGAGGTGGGCAGATGGTTAAAAAAAATATATGTCGGTACCAGGTTGGTATCGGTAGTGGAGTAAGAGTCATGCTTTACCAATCAGACTCCATCCCATTACCAATCAAGCACTGGAAATTGTTGCTTTTGCTCTGCTCTTGCCATGAAAACCGTCAATGTAGTCACAGACAAAGGCATTACACATTTTCTCGTAGAGGGATGTATCCGCTACTCCTGGAGAGAATCAGAGCGTTGGATCTTGAGCTGGAATAAAATGTTTGTACCCATTTTGGAATATTTTTTTATTTTTTTCTCCCCCATTTAGATTCTATGCACCACAAATCTGGAACAAACTTCCGAAAAGCTGCAAAGGGGCTCAAAAGGTTAAAAATCCACCTGTTTAGAGCCGCCTTTGGTTACCTGTAATCAGAACATTGATCCATATATCTGATGTGTATTTGCTTGATAATTTCGATGATGGCATTTGATTAAATGTAATGTCTGGTGCTTGTTTCAGTGTTTTCATGGAGTGAGACACTTTGCCTTGCCTTGTTCCTGAAATGTGCTGTACAAATAAACTTGACTTTCTTCAGTTTTGAGTGCATCGCTGACTGACCGTGTTGTTTCCAGGGCGATAAAGACTTCACGCCCGCAGCGGCTCAGGTGGCCCACCAGAAGCCCCAGCCTGGTGTCCCCAAGCTGCCCCCCGCGCAGCACATCAACCAGCACATCCACCAGCCCCGCAAGTGAGCGGGACCAGCAGGGCTCCAGCGGCTCTGCTTTTACTCCACCAGCCAGCCTTCCCAATGGAACACGTAGGATGAAGATGGTTCCCAACCGGGTGCACAAACCTCTGCTAAATGATACCAGTAATTTTTTTGTTTTGTTTTTGTTTCGTTTTAATTTGCTTCTTGCTTTACATATCGAGAAATATTTCAGCAGCTGATGCCACATGTCAGTGCAAGTATCGTAGAAGTCCTGCTTGTACCCTGCTGCGTCGGTGCTGCACTACTGTTTCTGCACTTTCATGACCTGACCTCTCCTTCGCAGGGATTGTTCAATCGCTCATCAGTCTTAACTTGAAATAAACCGAGCTCTTCTAGCAGCAGTGGGAGGGGAGGGTAGGGGAGGGGGGGAAAAAAAACCTAAATGATCGTGGGTTTAGCTCTCTTTGAGCTAAAACGGCCAATCACAACCGAGCAAAACCCAACAGGTCAGCGGAGCCTCGGCTCCAGGATTTCCTCCAGTAGACCATATAGACCAAACAAATGAATGCAACACGTCACGTCGTCACAGTTTAACTGCAGAGCCAACCAGCGTATCAAAGATAAACAGAGAAAGTCAAACTAATAACTGTATAATAGACAGTATTAACCTATCGGAGCATGTGCAAGCAATTTAAGCGCATTATGTTTGTTCCTGTGTGCCATTTTAATGCAAGAAATCATAGAAAGTGTAGTAGATCGCAAATTTGAGCAAGAACTTAAAATCAACATTGATGCTATGTACTGCTTCTTTGTTTAAAGAAAAAAAGCATAATATCTCTGATATCTTAGCATTTGTAGCTGTTGGACCATCACAAAGCCCATTAGGCTTATTCCCATTTAATTATTTCTTACTATTCCTTTATAAACGAGTTTCAACGTCTGTGTTAAATGACGTCTATTTAATCCATGGTGCAGCGGAAATGATGCCAAAAAACCTGAAGAAAACTTCAGCTTCTGGGAAACAACTGAAGGATGCTTTGTGTTTGGTCTAAACAACAAATAAGCCGTTTATTGAATACAGAGATGGACTATCAGGTTAGGGTGATAATGTGCTAACATTAGGATAATTACACAACATTCCACGCGTCAGTTTGCTAAGAGAATTTGTTTGGGCTTCAGCATAGGGATTTATTTGCATATCAGCAACAGAAACCCCATAATTCATATTTAAAAAATAAAACCAAATCACTGCATTTTTTTTTAAATTGCTCATCTTCTTACAATTCAAATCAGTTGATGCAACACTAATTTTCAGGTTTTCAGGAGACAAAAAAAAATTTATCTTATGAAGAAATCATTATCTGTGTTCATGTAATTAAATTGAAAAGGTTTCAGTTTTGTTCTGTGCTTCTTTTTTTTTTAAGTGAATCACTTTAAATGTTAAAATCTTGAGTCATTGAAGTGGACTTGGGTGTTAGGTGTGGTTGTCGTAGTAAATAAAGGTTTGGAATATCTTGAACGAAACCTCCTTCAGCTCAGCTGGTTTTTATTTATCTGCAACACGGTGAAAACTTTTCACAACTCAGGCCACAGACGTTTTAGCACATTCCAAAATTTCCAGTTGGATAAAGTTGGGGCATTCGGTCTTGAGGGGGGGAAAAAAAACGCTACCTCGTCCGACTTGATGCATCATCTCGGGTTTCTCACCTGGAGCATCGTGGCGTCCTGTGGTGAATTAGCACTCTGCACCGGGGGGACGAGGGCTCAGGTGGCGCTGTGAAATGAAACGGAATCATCTCTCCTGGAGCTGTTTTCCCCTCCACACACACCCACGCACACACATATACAGTGTGCACCAGGTGTTGATGCATGTAATCCATCTTTACACAAGCATCTGCAACCAGGTGTTCTGTCAGCTTATGTTAGGCCAAAAAAGGAGGCAGTGCAGGCTTGGGGGGGGGGGGAGCCTCGATCTGCACACTGAAACTCCCCAATAAAGCAGACCCAATCTCCTCCACTGTCTCATCCTCTTGCCAGACCTCATTACACTGACCGGAAGAAAGGAGTCGGATGACGACAGGCATGCAAAGATGTATGCTCCGCATTTCAGAAACCGCCCTGTGCACAAAACGGGAAGGCGGCGAGCCTCGCTTTCAGTGCTCCGTCTGGACCTTCTGTCGTTCACCTGGATTTCTCCGGTAGAATGTCAACCGGACCGATCTGTGAACAGAAGAAGCTGTATACTATGACGTTTGTTTTCTGTGCTGTTTAAGAATTGTCGTTTTGTTTTTGTTTTTTCCACAATGGCAGCGGAGTTGGTGAACAAAGCCGTTCTTGGTCACACTTCCAGATAATTAATTAATATTAACAGCCGTCTCGTTCAGCTGGGCACTTCTCTCTTCGCAGCGAGAGATGGTTGTTTACGTCGCAGACGATTTCCGGTAAGCTTCATAGTCTCGAACTGGTGCATTAAATACGGCACGGCTAAAACATTAACGATTGGGTAAAATGTAAAACTTAAAACAGAATTCACACCAAAAAATATTCACTCCGATCCACATAACTTTTTTTTTTTTCTTTCTTGCTTGTGGATACTTTGATAACGCACCTGGGATAAAATGTCAAAGTTATCATGACATTTTGGCTCCAGTTTAACCAGAACCAGCTGAAACGGTGTCGCAGCAGCAGCTCATGAAGGTGCAAAGATGGATTTTTTTTCCTTTTAAACTCAAAGGGAAAGATTTTCTTTTCAGAGCTGCTCTCATCCAAGTGTCCCTCACACTTTTTTTTTATCAGCATAGCCTACATTTCCCTCAATGCATACAATTTAAATCTGCTATTTTTCATGCTGATTGCAATGTTAAGACAATCATTTATTCATACTGTTCATTAGGAAAGATCTACTTCATTTTTGATTGCATCGCAGTAATTATTCAACCCTCCCAACCTCAGCAGATTGATGTAACAAATACGGTTTGTGCTAAAAGAAAAAAATGGTGAAATAATAATGAATATAAGTATGATATTAACAGAATTTACTTTTTTTTTTTTTTACAAGAAAGCTATCTTATTGGGTAATCTACATTTAATCAACACTCTTCCATCACTGTTATTTAATTAAACTCTGAATTTATATTATCATCTCTCTGTTTTCTGTAATCATCAAATGTTTATCGAAATTAGACGAGAATGTTTACTTCATTCTTTATAATTTTAATTGAAACTGACAGCAATTGTTTAATATAGGCAAAGAAAAATGCCTGGTTCAAAAATAGTTATTTGAAATCAGCCTTTCTGAAACGGCTGCTTGTGAAATTATTCATACCACACGACTTCTTTCATTTTATCCGTTTATAACCACAAACTGCAACTGGGATTTTTTTTTATCTGAGAAAGAAACACAAAATGGTGTACCTGTAAAGTAAAAAGCAAAGGATATACAATATATTTTACAAATGTAAATCTCAGAAATGTGGCTTATATTTTATGTTGCTTTCAGTGCCCATGAAACAATATTTTGTAGAGCTGTTATCCTGCAGTTACAGCTTTAAGTCATTTCCTGGTTCTCTCTCTCTCTGTCTCTCTCTACCTGTTCTACACATCTAGGAACTTAAAACTTATGTCTGAATTTTAAAAAAAATACACAAGTTGAGTCACTTTGGATCAGAAATACTTGAAAAAAACTCTATTCTCCAGTCTTCCTAAGTGGATTTATGTCTGGACGAATATGCACAATGTTGTGCTGGTTTATCACAAAACATGTCAAAACATGGGACAATTGAATGAGTTTGAATAGATTTAAAATGTATTTGTGGTTCTCATATAATTAGCATGTTGCCTTCTTCCAAAACAACCCAGCAGAGGGCGCCAGCAAAGGATTCCCCCTCTGAGTTTTGAAGCCTGGACAAAAGCGCTCGGTTTGTGTCCAACCACAGTAAAATCAGGTCACCCTGTTTAAACCCCAGCCTGAATCATCACAGTGTGACATAACAGCTGTCGCACATTGAGAGGAAGGTTATTTTGCTGCATCTAAATTTCGTTGAGAGGTTTGGGTTAAAGTGGGAGGGTGGGAATAAGAGGAGGGGAGGCAGGGAGGGCTAGAGATGAATTGCTGACCAAGCCAGTGACGCTTTATAATCCCAGGCTGGAATCTAAGCCAACAGCTGTTTGAGACACGATGACCTAAATATTATCCGATGCATTCAGCGGCTAACGGGTTTTGTCTCGCTCACCAACGTGTGAATCAGAGTTGATTTCTCTGCATTCTGCTAAATAAAAAGTGGAAGTCACTGCAAAAGCCAGATGAAATAACAATAAGCGTATCAGAGTTCATCCGCAAATCAATGTCGCTTCCGTTCACCGTCAGTGGAAGTTCTGCACGTAAAAATAACTTGTGAATACCGTCCATAATAGCGTCGAGTGTATATTTCAGCGCACAGCATTACTTTTATGGATTTCATTAATCCTGCGTGCCCTGAAATGTGCTGTCTGCTCATCTTTTGTCTTGTTCAGCTGATTTCCTATGGGCAGTGTCTAAGCACATTGCCACTCTGAATTCAGTGAATTTTGTTTGATGAAACCATTTGGCTGTGCAGAACCCTTGTAACCCCTTAGCAACTCATCACCATGTATATTAGACACACGCTCTTGGATGGCACTTAAACCACAATCGCTGTGAGGAGTAAGGACCGTGAAATTGTGCTCTCAGAATTCCAGCCGATGTTATATTGCGGCTCTGTGTGCTTAAATCAAGCTTATTTTCGCCCCATTATTCTAACTGTTTTAAAGTTCAAACCGTAAAGTGACCTCGTGCGGTTCAATGGCTTGTCTGGTCTAAATCAGAAGCTCAATTTGTCAGAAATGGCTCAGCTTGATTCTAACAAAGACTCGGCTGCTAATTTTAGACAATTTCCAAATTTCCAGAATTTTACACGTTGGCTCTTAACAGATTTAACAGCATTTAAACTTGGTTTAAATGCCATTTAGCAAGTAGAAGGCTGACTTTTACAGAAGGTCCTGGCATGATTCTAGCTGGATATTTGGTCACTCTTCTTGTAACAAACGAGAGAGCTTGTTAAAATTGGCTAGTTTTCTTTCCAACAGAAAGATTATTCAACAGAGGTTAAACTTTAAACCTAAGAACTAAGTACCAACGGTTAAGCATAGTCATCATGCTGAATTCAACACCTTAGGTGGACTTATGAAAAAGCTGGACTAATTCTTCAACTTTACATCAACTGAGTCAGAGAATTTCAATCAGACTGAAATTTGAATACATCTGGTTGTTTGAACAGTTCAATAATCCAAAGCAGTGAACTGGTCTGAAATAGATAAAGCAGGCTAAAACGAGCTTTTTAAACTCTTGTATTAAGCCAAATGGAAAAATGAAGCCTGATGGACAAGTGTGTGTGAACTAATTTAGATAATTTCACATTCATGTCCATATAATGACTGTATAATGACTGTATGTTAACTTTTTTGACGCTCTCTGTGTTGCAATTAAGTTCTGTTTAATTATCTATAAACAGGCAAAACAGCACTGCGGGTTGACATAAAAGGTTACCTCTTCTTACTTTCAAATGCAACACATATTGGATCCAATGGTGGTGAGCAAAAAAATGTTTATTTCACATCATCCATACCCTGCATACCCCAACGTCACATATCTCTCATTGCATAATAGTTTATCTGAAACATAAATTTGGTTTTGTCTTGTAAACATGTGGAGAATATTTAAATGTTTTATTTGATCTTATTGCTTTACAGGGTTTTTTTTTCCTCAATAATTCCACCTTGGACTCAAACGTCAAAACTAGAAAACGTATGCAAAGCAATGTCCGCACTGAATAAAAATACCTTCGAAAAGCAATCATATCTCTAGTACAAAATATATATGTATGTATTCAAAATACATTCAGACTAAGGCTTTGAAGCAGTAAGCATTCTAATATATATATATATATATATATATATATCTCCTGCAAATGCATTTAGGTCCTTGTATTTGTGTTTCAATTTCTCAGCCGACACAAGACGCTTAATCCGTAAATGTTTCAAAGACATGATTCCAGAATATTGCCATCCAGGCGATTCCCCCTTTTCGAGGCAGGAAGAGATGAACGTGTTTCTGCGGTAGGAGAGGACGTCTCTTCCTGTCGTCTGCTCTACAGTGTGCCAAACTAAAAGTGCATTGCCGATGCGACAACTCAACAACTCGCGACTCATCGAAGCAAAGTGTTGGCCGTCCATTTGAAAGCAATAAATATTACAAAATAAATTATCTAAGTTAATGTGCCAGGTGTGCTGGGTGAGTCTCTGACCACAATAAAGCTCTCAAAGTAGTGTGTAAGTAAAGTGTCTCGACGTCTAATCTATTTGGTTCAAAATATTCCATCCAAATCTTGCTGGCTTCGTGACCTGTCCAGGTGTTGTTGTTGTTGTGAGGATTTGAAAAGAAGCTTCCCTGAGGTAATTGTATTATTTCCTTTTCCCAGCTGCGATGTGTCTCCTAGTAACAGCCTC